CTTTCCTGCCTATGCAGGGGGTCGGACTCGATGATCTATTGAGGTCCCTTCCAACCCTAACATCTATGAATCTCACACACCCCCAGCAGCTGGTGAGTGTGGGCTTTTTTTTTGCTTTTTTTTTTTTAAAAGAGCCAGGAGCTAGGACAGTGGGTGGGGCAGCCACTGAGAGTGGGGGTGGGGGTGGGGCTGATTTGGAGATTCAGCCAATTTGGAGATTCAGCTGAGTCAGTGGTGACCGAATCTCCAAATCAGATTTGGCCAAATCAATTCAGGACAGTGATTTGAATCACTGAACCGAATCACTGTCCCCTGAATCAGCTGAGTCTGAATCTGAAGCAAATACTAGCTGCTTCGCACAGGCCACAGCAGAATATTAAAATAATATTCCTTACATTTTACATCTGCATGCTTTGCATTTGTATAGCATCAGCTGATGAACATCACTGAATCAATGGACCAACACACTCTTGTGGCAGGCAAATGCTGTTATTCTCCTGTTGAACTTAAGCGCACAGAAAGCTAAATGGCTTAAATCAAGGGCTCATAGCCTGTTAGTCTACCAGTTCTCAAAACTATGAATTAGCATCTAGAGCTGCATGCCCGCTCAGGGAGGCCTGGAAAGTGGCAAAGTTAGAGGAGTTTAGCTTGACAGAAGGCAATTTAAATAACCAGAAAGGAATGCAATCTGATTATTAGTTTAAATCTTATGAAAGATCTCATGCCATCTCCAATTAAGTACAAATTGTTGAACCATCAGTTGAACCATCACTTCTAAAAGAATACAGCTCCATGCCATCTAATCTCATGCAAGGACATGTAGTTACTGATGAAATTAGATAGAAATATTAGTGAATACTAAGGCCGCATAGAGACATTCAGTTTTTCCTGAGAGAGTTGCTGCTCTCCAAATAGAAAGGGAGAGTGTATGGATGTTCAGGATTTTTCTCCCGGGGCATAAATGGCTGCTCCAGGGGAAAAATAACTTGAGAACAACAAGGGGAAAAATAACTCAAGAGTTTCTCTTGTGGGAGAGAGCAAATATCTATAGGTGAGAGAAGCCATAAAATAGTTCTCCAGCATCCCACTTTGCTTCCCTCAATCCTGGGAGACAGTATGCCATTTGCTGGACTCTATTGCTCTGAGAAAGCAGAACATGCCCCCTTCACAATCCCCACATTGTTCTGCAGGGAGACACAGGATAATCCTGAGCAGTCTGGGTCAGCCAATCAGAGCTGGCTGTGAAGCATCAATGCTATAAGCTCTCTGCTCTTCAGGGGCTTGGCTTATGAATGTCTATTCAGGTGTCTCTGGGTAAGCTTTTCTAACAGGAAAACAAATCCAGGAGAATTCTCCCAAATAATTTGACCATGTTTACACAGTCTAAGTCACCAGAACATGAAGTTGTGACAAAAACTGACTTGGTCTGGGTTTATTTAGTTTGTGAGAGGGGAGAGTATAAGGGTTGATGGGAAGGCTTGAAAGCTCATCATTCAAAAAAATCAGTTTGCATTGGCCATGAAAATTTCTGATGCTGGTGTGAATCTCTTGGGTTATATGCCTCACAAGATCAGGCTTCTTTGCTCACTTTCTATTATCATGTACTTTCAGTCTGGTTATGGCAGTGATTCTCATCCACAGTGCCAGGGCCATCCTGGGGTGTCACCAGATCCTTTGAAGGGTGCAGTGAGGTGTGAGAAGATAAACAGATAAGCTAAGAAGATAAACCAGGCTCAGGCTTGACCCTGACTAGACAGTCCCCCAACCCTACTGCCCAACCCCTGTGTAAGAAGGTAAGCATTGTAGTATATAAATACTATGCAATGCGGGCACGCAATCTACACGTGCACAGTAAATATGGCAATTTACACCAACTTGAGCACAAATTTGATACCTGCATGATGCCCAATTAGTTACTGTGCAGTAACTCACATACAGACATCTTACTGCGCAATAACGGTGTGTGTATGGACAGATCTGTGCCTGTACTGCGCAGTACTTACTGTTACTATGCAATAAATGCACATGTGTAAATGTGCCCACAGAGTAGCTTTCATTATAGTGCTAACAGAATAGGATCAATCCCTTGATACATGAGTGATACTTGTCTGTGAATCATATCAGTAGTTATTTGCATTTCATTTGCAAATTAATTTTTTTAAGCAGCCAAAAATTCCTTCTCTATCCCATCTTGGATATAAAGCGCATTAACACTGTGTGTGGACTAAAGTTACTGTTAATCTGCCAATTAACTGTTACTGTTAATGGAATAGGAGATCTTTCTGTAGAGGGGAAGTGTAAATGTCACTATATCTAGATCTCCAATAAAACTGTATATTCCAGACAGGTCTCCTACCTATAAGAGTCTCAAATAAAGCTAGCTTTCTTCTACTTCAGTTTTGTGTAAATACAAGTCAGTGAGGTTTTTTGTTTTGTTCTGAGGGGTTTTTTTAGATTTTACATGTACTTTTCAGGAAGGAACCACTTTTCCAAAAGGAAGGAAACATAGAAACTTAACCTGTAACAGTAACATTTTCCAGATGTTTTTTTCTAGATTTGAACACTCATTCTGTAGTATGATATTCAAACACTAAGTCAACTTCAGCACACTATACAAAGTGGAAATAGATGAGTTTGGCTGATACGATTTATTTATTTGTTTACAGTTTAGTGTACCTGGAGGTAGCTGCAATATTAACGGAGCTTTTTCCCAATGGCTTAAAAGAATAGTAATTGATGAGCGTTAAGACAGAATGCTGGAACAAAAATGAGAATTACAAAATAGCTGTTTAAAGTTAAATCATGTCAAATAAAACAAAACAAAATCACAACAGGTTATCTGATGATTGTCAATACAACATAGTGCAGTTTTTCCAGTTGCTTTTTTTTAACGTTAGCAAAGCAGTACAGTGGAAAATATGGAAAAGAAATAACTTTGTAAAAGTCAGAAACAAACTAACTGGAAAGCATGTAGAAGTTTCTGAGATAAGCAATAGCTACTAAATTAATATTATTTCCTATAAATTTCAGATGCTATAAAAAAATCAAGCTTGAGGTGATGATAGAAATACTGATCCTGCAATTTTCAACGTATGGAAAGACTGCTGTGCCTTCACAGTGAAACTGGTAGGTTCTGGATTATGGTAGTTTCATTTTGCATTAGAGCAGATGTAATATTTCCTTACTCAAGACTTCTGCTTTCCCTGCTTCTTTTAAATATAGATAGCTGCCTCACTTGCAGAACTGCTAAATTTAGTCTCTTCACTAGGTAAGTTTGTAGGAGCAAAGATCTTAACATCGCCAGGTTGTAATAATTGCAGAACTATATCAGAAGAAATGATTATTTGGTCCACTCAACAGAGAAGAGCTTACTTATATAGATCATGTGAAAAAAGTTGTTAATCAGAGAACTTAGCTATGGCTTGTTACCAAATTAATTATTTGGCAACAGATTTCCATAAGATGTTAAATGTGCATATGTGCCAGGGAGTGAGGAGTGATACAAATCACACATGCAACAATTCACACAGCAATGAAGTGTAAAACAAGTTTAAAATAAAACCTATAAAAATTGCAAACTACATGTCTCCAAGCTCAGTTGCAGGGCTGATACTTCCTGCACATATTGCTGTAGACTGTACAGCGTCATGAATATGCACTAAACAGCAGGTCCAAAATATATCAACTTGCAGGCTGTAAGTTTGAACTCTTCCTGAAGTCAGAGCTCAGTCCTGTCAGCTGCAGAGCGTTCTGCAACTCATTCATATTAAGTATGTGCTCAAGCACCCTGTTGAGAAGGCCAAGAGTGTTCTGCATTAGGCAGGCTGAGCCCTGTTTTGGGAACGAAAGTTGCAAAGTAAAAATTGAAATTCTTACTGAGCCCTATTAATGGCATAAGGCTTCATAGGCAAAAGGTCACTATAATCTCATGGCCATGTCTTACTCATCACAGAGAAGTGATGCTCCCTTTGAAGTTAATAAAGAGGATTTAGATTTTACTGTCTAATCCTGCAAGATACCCTAATTTGTAGAATCCATATAGTAAAATTTATACTGAATTTAAAATTGGACCATATTTTCTGCCTTGAGAGATGTGAACCTACTCTAATGCATAAAATGTATTAGTTTTTTTTTTAGTTAAAACGATACAATACTTAATATAAATTTATGAACTTTACATATGAAACTGATCTATAAAATGTTTGAAACTGTACAAAATGGTACTGGAGTAGTCAATAGAAAAGTCTAGTTTAAAATATTTACATTCTTTACACCATTTCCCCTACTTACAATGATTAAATAATTCCCTGCATGCTGTTTTCCTCAATTATATGAAAAAAATCCTTTAAACTATAAAATAATTTGAATAAATTTTCAAATGGCTCTTCTTTTACCTTTCCTAATTTTAATCCAGTATATTAATTACATGTCCAATGTGAAATTTCATTCCAATTATAAATGTTTTCAGTAGCAGGTACACAACCATATTTCAAGAAGTTTTATCATCCTGTTTTGTATGTTACACAATGAAGATTTAATAAAATGGCAAAGCATGAATAGTAATGTAAAATTTCTTAGATTTTAAATCTCTATAACCATTAGGTTTCTGAAATCTGCAGTTTAACCTAATCATCTCTTACTTTCATAGAATCACTCATTCAATTTAGTTTTAGCTTTTTGTGTCATCTTCTTTTGAGAATTTATATCCTGAAGGTGCTTCATAGAGACTCTCTCCATCTGTACTGAAATCATCATCTTCATCAAAATCAGTCAGTATTTTACTTGGTGATTTCTTCCGCCTACTAAAAAAAAAGATAGGGCACCTATCAATGCAATAATACTGTATAAAACTTACATAGATCTTGTAAGAATAACACAATAGTGGTGAATGCTCATGCATGTGATTAGAGCCTCTGTTTCTTAAGGAAGTCAAAGACTTATAAAATTACCTAGGATAGGAGTTTCAAAGTAATCTTAAATTTCTAAACTAACACCTGTATGTTTTGTTTTGTTTCGTTTCTTTCTCAAATTGTATCTTTATACAAACACAGGTGTGCAGTAAAACCCATGAAATAAATGCATTTACCACATAGCTCTGCATCTTTACCCATCTTAATTGTACGCTAATCTACTGCAGATGGCACTTTTATTCAAACATCACAAGCCTTTAAACTGTTTCAAATATCTGTTACTTTACAAACATTCAGAAATGCTCCCTCTCTTTTTCTGCATGACACCTAGGCAAGGTTCAGCCCTGCTCTTCAAAGAGATTTTCAATGCATAAAAAGGTCATGACCACACTAGATTTTAATTTTAATTTCTTGGCAGAGCAGTGTCTGAAACTTTACCTTTGGAAAAGGGAGAGTTCCAGTTCCCCGATGGAATGCAGCATTTGCTTTTCAACTCAAAGGCCCTCAGATAATAGATTGAAGTATAATGAATTTTACTCAAATAGATGACCGGACTATAAGGCCCCCATTAATTAGATTGGATATATGGAAAAATTATAAATTTCTCACCTTTGTCCCCCTCCAGTCCTTTCCCCATCTCCTTACTGTCAGACCCTGCTCTCTCTGAGCACTTGGAAGTATGGGGCAGATTTGAAAGCACTTACCTTGGAATAAACTTAATTTACAATGTAGTCAAATTATTACAGGTATTCATAGATTTAGCTCATCCAGAATTGATGCACGTTACCTTTTTTGAAATGATTGCAAGTTTTAGCACAGGTAGAACAGAAACATGCTTTTAAGCAGTACATTTGTATCTACTTCTATATTAGTCTAAAGCCAAAAGGCTTATGTCTTATCATACAGTTCAGGGGTTGTCAATTGGAGGTATGTGTGGGGGTATGCTCCCCGCCTGGTTGTCAATTGGGTGCTGGGGGACTCCCCACTTCCTGATCGGCCGCCAGGGATACACCAACCAAAAGAGGTTGAAAACCCCTGATTATAGTTCATTGGGCTGGGCCCCAGCAGAGTCAACAGCATATCAAGCCATGGTGACCCCACAGCTTAGCATTGCACAGTATGTGTGTATACTCTATATACCAGGGGCAGGCAATTATTTCGGACAGAGGTCCCCATACTAAGTTTTGGCAAGCCATCAAGGGCCGCATGACAGGCATCCAGGGGCAAATAAATATTAATTTCCTAAATTTTTTAGGGGCCCCGATGGCCGGATAGAACGTGCTGGCGGGCTGCATCTAGCCCACAGGCCGCATTTTGCCCATCCCTGCTATATACCCTCCACCCCACCACAAATGGTCTCATATGTTATTTAGCACCCCTCCCCACACACTTGATTTGAACCAGGTGTTCTTGTCACAAGTCCTGGGATCCTCCAAAAAATTATATACAGATCAGGTCCGGAGCTAACTGGTCCCCCTCCACCCTTTGAAGGGCAGGGCCACATTAATCCTATGCAACAGACTATGGGAGAGGGTAACAGAGGGATTCTGGGTGAACTGTCTGGGGCCCCGTTTTGTGATGTTTGCCAGACAGCCAAGGATGGTGAAGAAACAGGAATAATTGGAAATGGGGGAAAAAGGCACAGCTCAGCTGTGGGAGTGAAGAGGAAGTCAAATGTATTCAATGTAGTGGCTCACTATGACTTGAAACGGAGTCAGTGCTGAGGCGGAGTGCATGCAGTGGGCACTAATTTGGATGGGTTGCACTAGGCTATCCTTGTGGTAGGTTCCCATGGCAGACATCACATGGAAGAGAGGGAACTAGCATAGATGGTTCAGAGGTGAGCCCTCTGAAAAGAGCATTGATAATGACAATGGAAATGACTAATACAACGATGAGTGAAAGGACTGGGCAAACAGGCAGGGGAATTGGGAAGGGGGAGGAAGAAAGGAGAGAGAGGGTATGAGAGAGGGCACTGAGGTAGTCCTTTGCATAACTGACAGTTAAAGGTGAGAGTGATGGGCGTGTGGGTGAATGGGAATGCAGGCACAGTTTTTGTAACAGGAATAAGAATGGTGCAACTATAAAGGTATATTTTGGACTGTCAAGAGAACCACAGCAGTCAGACAGGTTGGTAGAGGTATAGTTATATATATATTTCCAAAAAAAGAACCCAGCATCTCAATCTTTTGGGAAAGATCAAATGTAGCATTTTTGGCATCAATGGGAACGTGCCAGGGTTGGTTCCAGCCCTCCCAGTGCCAGCTTGTTACTACAGTGCCTCTAGGCCTAGTGTCAGTTCCCTGCAGAAGGAACATCTGTCCATTTTTTTTTTTAAACACACACACACACACACACACACACACACTTCTCATCAGCATGCTTGCTCCATATAGTCATGCTCAGTGTTTGCTCCAGTTAATCGACTCCATAGCTGGTTTCCACTGCTGAGCACATGCTGCTTTTAGCATGCATGATAGACAATGCAGAGACAAAAAACAATGGAAAATGTATTTAATGAGGTTTACTTGTATGTTATTATAAAATTATTATAAATATATATGTTATTATAAAATGCTGATGGGGGGGGGGGAAGAAACTTGTCTTGTATTTGAGGGAATACGGTATTTTTATTCCTGCAAATGTCAAGTTATCTATGTCAAGTTATCAAGTCTCCTATGTTTTGCTGAGCCATGGCCAGTTATGGTTCAGGATAAGGTTCCCCAAGTGACCAGGGAGCAAGCGAGTGAGCGAACAGGGACAGCAAATGCTGGAAGAGACCTGTAGGACTGCAGTCAAAGGACTGCTAGAGGCAGGGCTTGACAAGGAAAAGTCCTTGGAAAAATCATAAAGCAGGTCCTCAAGGAGTCAATTTCTAAGCACTTGGAGGAAAAGAAGAGAATTAGGAACACTCAGCATGGATTCACCAGGGGCAAGTCATGCCTGACCAACCTGATTGCCTTCTATGATGAGACAACTGGCTCTGTAGATGGAGGAAGAGGAGTAGACATGATGTACCTTGACCTTAGCAAGCTTCTGATATGGTCTCCCACAACATTCTCACAAGCAAACTAAGGAAGTATGATTTGGATGAATGGGCTGTAAGGTGGATAGAAATCTGGCTGAATCATCTGGTTCAGAGGGTAGTAGTCAATGGCTTGATGTCTAGTTGTCATCCATGATCAACTGGAGTGCACAAAGGATTGGTAGTGGGGCTGGTTTTGTTCAAGATCTTCATCGACGATCTAGAAGATAGGATGGAGTGCACCCTCAGCAAGTTTGCAGATGACACCAAGCTGGGGGAGAAGTGGATAAGTTGGAGGGTAGGGGTAGGATTCAGAGAGACCTCAACAAATTGGAGGATTGGAACATAAGAAATCTCCTGAGGTTCAATAAGGACAAGTGCAAAGTCCTGCGCTTAGGATGGAACAATCCCATCTACTGGTACAGGCTGGGGACTGCCTGGCTGTGCACCAGCTCTGCAGAAAAGGACCCAGGGGTTACAATGGACAATAAGCTGAATATGAGCCAATGGTGTGCCCTTGTTGTGAAGAAGGCTAATGGCATACTGGGTTGCATTAGTAGCAGTGTTGCCAGCGGAGCAAGGCACATGATTATTCCCCTCTATTCAGCAGTGGTGAGGTAACATCTGGAGTACGTGTTAAGTTTTGGGCCCCCCAGTACAGAAAGGATGTAGACAAATTGGAGAGAGTACAGAAGAAATTATTAGGAAGCTAGGGCACGTGACTTATGAGGAGAGGCTGAGGGGGGTTTAGTCTGAAGAAGTGAAGACTGAGGGATATTTAATACCAGCCATCAACTACCTGAAGTGCGGTTACAAAGAGGATGGAGCTAGATTGTTTTCAGTGGTGGCAGAAAGCAGAACAAGGAGCAATGGTTTCAAGTTGCAGCAAGGGAAGTTTAGGTTAGACATTAGGAAGAACTTTCTTACTAGGCAGTGAAGCACTGGAACAGGCTGGAACCCAGAGAGGTTGTGGAATCTCCATCCTTGGAGGCTTTTAAGACCTAGGTAGACAAAGCCTTGGCTGGGATGATACAATTGGGGATCGTCCTGCTTTGAGTAGGGGGTTGGACTAGATGACCTCCCATGGTCTGGTCTAATTAGAAATTACATTTCTAATTTTCTGTGATTTTATGATTCTAATGAAGACACTGGACATCTCAATTAGAGGATAATGAAGAGTAACCACTACCATTTGAAAAAATGCTTAAAACATGGCTAAAATCATTTCCATATGACAAATACAGAATACTGGAAGGGGTATGTGGGATGATCAGCATTGCTAAGTTTTTCAGCCAGCCCTCATTCATGCTGTTAATTCTATAACATGCTATCATTCATCTACATGCACACACACACACACGCACATGCACACACAATATTTGTATTATGGTTATACCACATATGTACTAAGTTTACCAGAGGAAGCATATAAAATTGATCTCATTCTAAATTTCTCTTGATATGACCATATTGTTCTGATTATAATATCCTGCACATGAGTTGATCCCACATCTTTGGGTACAATTTTAAGACAAAACAGTTTTTTCCTTGAATATAAATTAACTATAGATAAGGACCTGGAACTGCTATTGCCTTTACAAAGTTGCAAAAGAGGATTGAATAACCAAGAAAAGGCCCCAGTGGGTAATACACTAAAAATATTACAAATAAATCATAGGATCATAGACAAGTAGGGCTGGAAGGGCCCTCCAGAGTTCCTCTAGTCCAACCCCCTGCCTGAAGCAGAATCATCCCTATCTAAATCACCCTATACAATCCATAATCTGAAGTCTATATAAGACTACTGACAATCCTGACACAACACAGACATAACACCCTAATTTGCCACAGGTAAAGCTGGGGAACTATGGCAGCCAATGTCCTGCTTCTGTAAAATGTTGTCAATACATGCTCAAGGGATCCCAGGTAGAGGGCCATGGCCCCCACTACAGAGGTAGGCCAAAACCCCCGTAGTCTGTACCAATCTGACCAGGGGGTAAAATTCCTTCCCGACTCCAATAAACAAATAAATAAATGGGAGCATCCTCTGCCCCAGAGATCATTTTCCTAGGCCTCACCATGTTGTCTCCAGCATAAAATTTCATTCATGCCTCTCTATTCAGTTCTCCTCAGTTTCCTGTCAGATCACCTGTCTTCTGGTTCTGTGGCTCCAGTTGTGACCTATCGCATGGCCTGCCCCAGAGTGAGTTGGGGATCCAATGCTTCCTAACACCAGTCAGACATCCAAAAGCCTCAATTTGACACAGGGCTCACAGGGCTTCTTAGTTCCCACCTTTTTGTTGATGGATTAATTCCTTTTTACCTCCCCCAAGTGGAGCAGACCATGGAGATCCCTGGGAACTGTGGAGTGAGGTAATGTGCATCACCTAGCCATCATAGCCCAAACTGAGCCTGTCACTATGACAAAACAGATGACCCTATGTAGCACCATTAAGGGTCAGCCATTGGAGTTGCCACACAGGGTCATCTGTTCTATCATAGTGCCAGCAGAACTAATGATCTTGAGTGGTACCCTTAAGGGCCACAATGGTTGGGTGCCACCAGGGTCATATGCTCTACAGACTAATACTCACTGTTCCAATTATAGGCTGAGACCTCCAGTCAAGTGAGATTTTAATGGTTCTTTTAGAGGGAAAAATGTTGCCTTATAATCAGAACAAGATAGTAAATGTTTTTCAAGTCCAGGTAGGAGAAACTCCAGAATGCCACTCTCCAAAAAACAGCTGAAGTGAAAAAATACTTTTAAAACTAAACACAGAGGAATAAATCCCTCCTCTACCATGAGTAAGTTCACTTCTGAAGTGAAATACAGTGAATATACTAAGTTCCAGCAGCCACTTCCATTTTCTTACAGTACAAGTCTGCCCCCTACTTCAACAGCTCTACTTGCCTCATAGACTCAGGAAAACTGGGAGGTAAGGGAGGCAGATGCAGTGCTTGGAAGGGGAACAGGGGAGTTTACAGACAAGAAGTCCCGCTGCAGAGTAGCTTCCAGTTCTGCTCCTGAAGCAACTTCTCCCTGTGACACATCCTATGTTACCAGTGAAGAGTCCCAGCCTACTGGACTGGAGCAGAAAAGATGAACATTGGCAGTTGTTTTGTAAGTACGGACATGGTTTTGAGTATATACACACACACACATATGGAACTAGCGTATTCCAGGATCCTACAACACAATTTAAAACAATTTGACAAAGAAAAAGATCACTCACAGGTTAAATGTGTGCGAGTCAAGGAAAGCATGTAGGGAGTCAAGAAAAATATGGCTTTCAATGGAAATGTAAACAGGCCTTTAATTTTTTCATTGCTATTTAATTTTCATCTAGCATGAGTATTCTGTGAGTACCACGTTGATGCATAACAATTAGTGATGTAGGACTTCCTTGCATTTTAGGGACCTGCTTGTCTTAAAGTCCCACCTTAATTCCTTCTTCATAGCAGTAAGCTGTCCTTGTAATTGATCATTCATGTCTACTTGCTCTTCTAATTCCCTCTGAAGCTTTTTCTTGGCACTTTCCAGTCGGTCTATTTCTTCTTCAGCTTCTTCAACCTGACGTTTCATTGCTTTCAAACGCAAACTCAGCTGAAATATTTAAGCAGCAGCAGATTAGAGTAATATTTTGATAAAGTAATATTATTCTTTCGGCATGCATGAGTCAGGGAATGAAGTCACAGCTTTGCCAAAGTCAGGACTTTTCCAGAGCTGTGCTTAAGCAGTATTTGAGAGTCCAAAACATTAGTCTTTGGGAACAGTCAGGTGACGAGAAATGTATTATCAAAGCAGTTTAAAAAAATTATTGTAAAAAACAAAGATGCGAAGGCTGCTGCCCCAGTAGACACTGGAAAACATCACCTCCTTGTTCACTAAGCCGAATACAGATTATTTGAGTTATGTCACTGAAATGTGTCATAGGAAATCCATAAGGATGTCACATGACATGGTAATGTACATTACTTCTGCAAATTATTCTTTCAGGAACATGACAACATTCTTTGTAGGAATATTTTTTTAATGACAGAATGAAATATGCTTAATGAAGTTAAAAACAACATTTAGAGCCCTGTTTAGAGCAGTGTACATGTAGAGCATTCAGCCCTATATAAAACACCTTAATTTTCACTAGAGCCTTAGGAGAAACCTAAGTGTTTTCCCCACATATTTCATAGAAACCTAAGAAAATATGTGTTTTCCCCACATATTTCTACCAGGTTCAGGGACACAATGGGATTGGGAATAAGAGACTCTTTCAAAATTGGAGTTCATTAAAAATAAAATAAATCAGCAGTTACCTGCATTCTAAGCTTTGAATGTACTTGTCTATGTAATTCATGCTGATTCATATTAATAGAGATAACATTAGAGACAGTTAACATAGGGGATTGACTGGCGAGTTTGCTTGTGTGCAGGTTCAGACAGGGAAACTGTGATTGGGGGGAGAGGGGAGTCAGGTTCTCAAGTTCTGGGGTGTTATTTGGGGAATCCTATTGCTGTTGTTTTTTCTATTTATTGTAAACAGCTCTGAGTCTTTTGGATAGGGCAAAATATACATCTAAGTAATAACAATAACAATAAATATAACTTCTTCCCTCTACCTGGTCCTTCTGGTCAGTCAGTGAGAGATGTTCATCATCAACTTGCAGCACTAACTCCTTCACTTTCCTTTCAAGTCTGCGATTGCTGACCTGCAGATTAGCCCGATCCCTAAAAGGAATCCAGATACACACAAATGGTAGCTGGGATCATTCCAGATCCTTCTGAGCCTGTTCTTGTGATATTGAAGTGTATAATAAATACCAGTGGCATCTACTTTGATGTACTGAGTCAGTGCAACAGACTAAAGTTTGTTCAAAAGCAAGAAACACGCAGGAAAATACATATTTATTTTTCCCCAGAGTGACATTCAGAAAGTTGAAAAGGTAAGAAACACTTCTGACTGCAAATCAAACATGAAAGTAATATGCAAACGGAAATGTTTTGTTATAGCTGGCATTCCTGTGACTGCTGCTGATAGTTGCACTTATTAAAACAAAAGATATCTTACACTGTCAGGTTGGCATCCCAGTGCAAGAGTTAATACAGTGATATCCAGTTTTATTTTGTATTGATTTAGCAATCAGAGGCAGCATCCAAAATGTCTGCTTTAAAACCAAATTCGTGTTACATAAATTCAGTACTTGTCAAAAGTTTTGAATTGAATGGGCCTGAAAACTATTTACATACTAGCATGATGCCACACATGCATGCAGACACCTCCCTTTTGGTTCCTGTTTTACCTCTCTTCATTTTCAAGTCTCTCTTCTAGCTCCAGGATCCTTGCTTCCATCTGAACAACAAGCCCTTCCTTGCTGGACCGATAAGAGCCTTCAAGGTGAAGGATTCGGCTTTTCAAATCTTTGTTCTAGAATTAGAGCACACCTGGTTACTGCATATCAGCATATTAACAAGCACAAGCACTACATTAACAATAAATGAGTGCTCTTAGAAGCACAGAGGTGGTAAGATGCTTTTACAGTTAAATAAGCAAAACATTTTTCAAGTAATAAACCAAAAACCCCCCCAAAATCAGCCAGGAAAGTATTTGTTGGGCTGGCTAGCCCATAGCAAATCCAGCCTCTATTGCTGGATTTCATTTAGCGACTTACTTCTTTTTTTTCTTTTTCTTTTTTTTTTTTTTAATACGAGATTTTCATCAAGATTAAGAATCTGAAATAGGTCGGTGTTGGAACTGTAGGCCTGAAGCCCCCAGAAACTTTAGAAGCTTTGGCTGTATGAGGCCCTCCTCTATTCAGCATTCTGTAAATAGGTTGGTATTTTCTAAATCACATTACAGTTGAATTAATCTCTGCCATCAGCCATTTTGTCTAAATACCTACACCCCACTCCCCTGTGGCTGACCTTTCTGTGATATCTATAACTATCATCATTATAGTCAGGAGTGCGATAGCATTTCCATTCATAAATACATATTAAAAAAAAGGCATATGATTTGTCCAGACAAGGTATAAATCATTCACACAGCACTTCTTTTCTTGTGACAATAGGTCTGACAGACATTCAACATGGGGTATAACAAGTTAATGTTGCACCAAACAGAAAGAAAATTAGATGATGTTTTGAATTCCCGAAATTCAAGGTGCTTTGTGAAACATGTGAGCCACAATCTAATGCAAACTTGTCAGACTTGGTGTTTTGAGCAGACAATAAAAGACAAACATGACATTTATCTCAGAAAAAGAATAGAATATGAACTGTACCATCTATTTATATCTTAACTACTTGGAAGGACTAACATTGCTACACAGTATCTAGAAGCTTAATTATTATGCTGTATTCATGTCTGATCATCATATTCCAAAATAGACTCTATGTTCCATAAACTGTGAAGGTATCATATTAACTAACCCCAGGGAAAACAAAAAGATCCTCACTTTAATCCAAATGAGTCTATCTGTTTTCCATGAGGTTTTCTTTTCCCTTCTGGGAACCTCACATTTAAAAAGGAAATATTCAGCAGCTGGACTAAAATCATTTAAGCTTCATTTTAAGTTTTCATGTTGTCACTAGAAACTCTTCATGGATTTATGTATCCTCTCTCGCTTTGACAAACCTTTACTCTTTCACATATGATACCACTGGGAAATATATGTCAGCATCAACATTGCAAAATAAAATTATGGATTAGAAACTATGACTGCATATTGTTTGAGAGCTACAAACATATGCTGAAGGACATATGATCCAAAACTCAAGCTCTTGGACACTGTTTGAATGCAAACATACAGGCAATATTCAGTTAAGATATATGTTTTCAAAATGTCTATTCTGCCAACCTAAGGCAGAGTTCTCTTAAAGAACTCCCTCTGTTATTGCAAAAAGTTAAAAACAAATCAGCTGTGAAAAGTAGGGTAATGATCAGGGATCCTGGTTTTCTCATTTTAAAAATTGCAATTTCTCTGATAAAAAAATATAGCAAATTCTCTGATAAAACCCCCAAAATCCACAATTAAAATGAAACACTGCTATATATATATAGGTATCAATTGAACACAATGTTTTCTTGAAATGTTTACAATTTCAAAGCAATTTGGAAGCCTACCAGTGCCTCAATCACTATAATGAAATAAATTCTAAATACCTATAAATTTTGGTATTTGATTTTGGGTTTTTTATCCTGGAAACTCAGAGCTCCCCCTGCCCTCTTCACTCACCAGGATGCAGGTTCAGCCCAGCTCTGCCATAGGGGGTCCCCAGCTGTCAAGGCTATAAGGCCAGGGACCCAAGTTTGCAGCAGCACCCGAGCCCCAGCTGCTGCCCACAGGAGGTGGTAGCTGCTGCAGTGGAGCAAAATGCAGAGTCTGGCTCTGCTTCCTCCTGCAGGTGGCACAGCTCATGCAGAGCCTGTGGGGGTGGGCGGGATGTGGGTTGACCACTGTGGGCTCAGGACAGCTCCCCACTACTGTGCACACTCCTGGGGAGGGAATAGGGGGCACGTGCCCCCCAGAGATGTGCGCAGGGCAGGTGCAGACTGGGGCACCTACCCTGTTGTCCTCCCCCTGCTACACTCCCTGCCCTGCTGCCCTCCCCCAGGGCCTCCACAGCCCAGTGGGTGGGACCCAGGCTGCCTGGTAGCCATTAGGACTGTGTGAAGCTTTGGTCCCTGATTCAATTTGGTGGAGATTCAGCCCGATTTGGTGGCCAAATCTCCAAATTCAAATCGAATTAGAGGACCCTTTAAGCTCTCCGAATTGAATCGGAACCCTCCAAATCAATTCAGAGAGATTCGGAAAGATTCAGAGATTCAGACATAGAGACAGCTTTAAATGTTTTTTCTACATACCTCTAGGTAGCAGGGGTTTGTGAGTGCTGTGATGCTGGGGTGCATGGAGTGTCCCACAGAAGCACGCAGGGCTTCCCAGCGTGCTCAGCAGCAGACCCAGAAGTAGACCAGAAGCCACCACCGCACTGCCCCCCCCACCCCCCCCAGCTCAGCAACTGGTGTCTTCTGGGTCTGGGAGGTACCCAGGGGCCCCCTGTGGCCGATCACCAAGCCAGGGGGTGTATGGTGGGGGACCCCAGTGTGCTCCCCAGTGGACCTGCAAGTGATCTGGGAGTACTTCTGATCTACTTCCGGGTTTGCCGCCAAGCATGTGGAGGGCCCCTCTGTGCTCCTATGGGACACTCCATCCACCCCAACACAGCAGTGAACACAAGCCACGCTGGTACCTCAAGGTATGTAAAAAAAACTTTTAAAGCTGTGTCTATGGCTGCATCGCTGATTCTCTGAATCAGCATCAAATCTTCAGATTCAGATTAGGCTGAATCAAATCAGGGACAGTGATCCAAATCAACAAATCGAATCAATATCCCTGATTCGGGCTGAATCCAAATCTGAATCAAATAGGGCCTGCTTTGCACACCCCTAGTAGCCATGCACGTGTGTGAGTGCACACATGCACTTGGTGCCTCCTGCCTGACCACCCTCCTCCTGTTCCCCCCAGCCCCTTGCAGGCTGGAACTCTGACAGCCTGCAGAGAGCTCTTTGCAAAAATGGAAAATCTGTGTGTTTCACTGTTAAAATGAAAAATCAGTGTTTTTCTCAGGTAAAAGGGAAAATCCACATTTTTTGAAAACCTGGATCCCTGGTAATGATAAAAATGGTTATACCTCCTTCTCCAGTGACTTCATCTCTCTGAAGTTACGAGACTGGCCTATAATGGGAGTATCTTTGGGGATATCAGCAGGTGGCAGTCTTCCCTTTAAAGTTATTTCTGAGTTGATGTCTAACAGAGTTTTAGAAAAGCATGTTGCTTTTCATGAATAAGTGGGACTAAAGGGAGCGTACAGAAGTTGCTTTTTTTGCTATTTAAAGTACTATATCACCGCAATTTAACAGAAGTACACAGCTTTACTGCACTTTAATAATGGGTACAGCACTTTAAATTAACCCTTGTTAAATGAGGTATTAAATTTGAAGCACTGTATTTTACAGCACTTTAGCAACCTACAGCACTTTAAATAACTTCTGGATGCTGGTCAAATTTCTGACCAGTGGAGAAGCCCCAAGAGGCTGTGGAACACCCCCTGCCACCCAGCCTGGAAAGTGCAGGGAGGCTTAGAGGTCCCTCACCCCACCAAACATTGTACTTCTGTCATGTTTAAGAGTGTTGTAACTTTACAGTGCTATAAAAAGTGCTCTAAATTACAGTGCTATAAAATGTGCACAGAGCACTTCTGTACAGACCCAAAAGGTCCAGGGCACCTAGCTTTGGTGTTTGCATCTGGTTTTTATACTCTACCTGTTTAACAGGCAGTAAGGACTCAATCAACATGGGTTCTATTCTTGGCTCTACCACTAACCTACTTTGGGGGAGTCAGTTCTCTCGGTACCTCAGTTTCCCCATCTCTTAAAACAGGTATAATGATGCTTTTATAAAGTGTTTTGGGGTCTTTGACTGAGAAGTGCTACAGAAAAGCTAGGCATTATCATTATCACCACCATCACAGTGTATTATCAAATATATTTAATACACTTTCAACTGTCTGATAAACATGTAGGCAACAGCAGGTTTCTATTTTACAATCATGTTATTATTATTTGTTTATTTCTTTAAAAGTATTTTCTTTTTAAATATGATGAAGGTTTGATCAGAGGCATAACAAGTCAGCAGGGCACAGAGGGCAGCAGTGACACATGGAGGCAGCAGCGACATCTAGTTGCCAACATGCTGTCGGCACAATTGTGTCTGAAGTGACAACTATTAATTTGTTGCCCACTCCACCAAGCTGGCAGTTCCTCTAGTTGCCATGCCTTAGTCATGCTACTAAGTTTTATATCTAATGTGGCTGACATTATTTTTAATAGCTTTTCCTTATTTAGTCTTAAAACCAGTCAATATCACTATAAGCTCACTTTCCTTATGCTAACAATTCTATAAAAATGTTATATTTATTAGTTCCAAGAGATCCCAAAACCTACAGGCAGACTGTACACAGCATAGGAATCCTGCACCTCTGAGATGAAAGCAGGAGCTGAATAATTGCACAGCACTGTACGATACACATGATCAGGACATGAAAGTGGTGACAGCTCTATTCAGCTGAAAATGCAGGGAATATGAGAGAGGAAGAATGTATATACAGAGCTGAACAATGCAAATATATTTTGATTCTTATGACAGTGCCTTGGAATCTTTAATGACCACAGATGGTGAGAAATTTACTTTTTTGTCTCTTCACAAGCCTGTTAGTATCTCCAAGCACATCATGTTGGGGTAGTACCAGCTAGTGAATCACCAGCACCACTTCCTTGTCTTGCATACTGCTTGCAGGCTCCCAATAAAAGCACCGATTCTGCTTAGCTATGGGATCAGGGGAGATGATGGCAGAACTGCAGTTATTACCTGCCTTTCCAATGAAATCTTGTCACACTCCAAATCTTGTTTTGTAGCTCTTTCCTGAAGTAGCTCGTTCCTCATTTGTTCAATCTATTTTAAACGGAAAAGCAAGAGGTATTAAGCAAAAATTTAGCTGTTTTTTAAACCAGAAGTGTGAAATTCATCATTCCATAAAGCTGAAGGCACATGCATAATACTAAATAATTTTGGCTCCTTGCAAACATTAAAAAACAATGGCGCTTTATTTTAAACTCTGTGTGCCCCTGCGCCGAGCCCCGTGCATGCCCAGGAAAGGCAGCACGTTAGCTGGACCTGGCTCTCCCAACATCTGTAATGCTGATTGGGCGCTTTAGTGGGGCATTTCTGGTGCTTTTATCTAAAAGCCGATTGAACCAGCTATTAGATAGAAGTGCCAAAATGCCCCACTGAAGTGCCCGATCTATACAGATGCTATAGAGCCAGGTCAATGTAATGTGCTGCTTATTCTGGTAAAGCATTTTTTTAAAGGTCTACAAAGCAGCTGTTATGTATAACCCTGGACAAAAGTTATTCCCTTTCAAAAAATCACTGCCCATCTTTTTCTTGGTTATTTGCCAGAAAAAGATCTTCTGATTGCTGAAGGTCACTGAACTTTTACTCCACTAAAACTGTAGGGGGTGGAGAGAGAAAGGAACATGGTGTGATCTACATCAACAATAACATTAAATCTTAAACAACAAAAAAGAATATTGTATATATATGTATAATATGTATTTTCCATTCTTCAAATGAAGAATTAACTAAAGAGGTACACTGCTCCTTAATTTGTTTTTATCTGAATATTTAATTTTACTGGAAAATTCCTTTGAAGATCAAAAAAGTACTGTAAATTCACCCTCAGAAGGAAGCCAAGTGACAGCTGTTACTGAACTACAATGAGGCATTGAAGCCCAAATTCTCCCGCTCTCCTGCTTCTACTGCAGCTACCACCAAAATCTTTATAAATGCCTTTGTAAGAAGATATTGTTACTTCAGTATTTATGCTATTATCAACACAGCTGTTACTGTCAGCAGTATCATACAGGGAATACAGCAAAGATCATGGTAATGTTGATTTCTGTACTTACAAAAATATCTGTAAAGGTTTCAGTGACTACCACTACATGTCCTACATTACCATAGTTATATATTAACTCAGGTTGAGTAAACAAGCAAACTTTCAGTTCAAATAAATCTGTGATATATAAGTTATCTTACAAAAACCTTCAGCCACCCAGCAGGTAATTCTTACATAAAAATATAAAACAATGCTGGGAATGTGAAAGTTAAACAAGTAGAGCACATAATTTTTTATCCTGGGTCTCTTTCACCACATTATAACCTTAAAAACCAAATCTTTAACTAATCACATGTTGAAAAGAGGTCATGTAAACTGTTCCAGTAACTTTTATATGGTTTCAGCCACCAGGAGTAATGCATGTAGTTGTAAGTATTTTGTCCAAGTAATGCATGCAGTTGCAAGTATTTTGTCCAAGCAGGGTTTTCAACAACAACACAAGACATTCTTAAACAAAACTCATATCAATTACTAGACTTAAAATTTATAAGCACCTGACTCTGCTCTGGATATAATTGTTGCAGGGAGGCCTGGAAGCATAATAATATCACGACAGTTGTTTTTTTCCTTCCTCTAAACACAGTAATTAAACATTTGCTGAGTTATGATTTAATGAAAGATCATTATACTACTTTACTCTTGTATGCTTTATGAAGAGGTCTTTAAGGAAGAAATTACCAGGCAAAAACAAGTTCTGGATGTCATGAGTATCTAGTTAATTAGAGGTTGCAAAAACATCCTCCACCTACCTTTAGGAGCCATCTGAATCCCCTCCCACAAAGATGAAGCTATGGAGCGAGTAGTAGAACTTTATTTTGATACATAAATGTGTATGGTTGTTATACATGTCAGTAATCCTAACCGTTAATGTTTTCCAGGTATGGGCATATCAGAAAAACACTCCTGAAGTCAGCATCATGCAGAAATTATTCTTTCTGCCAGAACTGCTTTGGTGTTGTAAACAGACACAGAAAAATTACAACAAAATCTGAAGTAAAATAAATGACTAATTAAAAATGCAACTGCTAACTGAAAAGGGGATGTTGTTACTCATAAAGACCTGATAATGAGCCATAAATGTGGTTCCATGCACTAAAACACTATTGTATTCTCACTGTGCTCAAAGATGTAACTAATACGCACAACCAAAACCAGGTCTCAAATTAGGGAAGTATTTAAAAGATGATTATCATATTGGCACAGTGATTGATACTGTTGCCAGATCCTTAATGGTAAAAAGTTGTGTCACAGAAAAGGAGGGAAGGAACACAGTGTCAGGGTGGACCTATACAAAAATGCCCATAGAAGAGGAATGACAGGATATAAATCAGTTAGAAGACAGTTTTCTAGTTATCTCCGTGTATTTTTCATTAACAAATATTTCCAACAAAATGCAAAGGGGACCCTGCCCAAAAATGTGCTCTGAAACACACAAACTCTACAACAGTTAAAAAGTACTCTTGAGCCTGTAGCATGAAGTGGTATGTGCTAAGATGCTACCTTTAACATACTTAATATATTCTGATTACATTAAAAGAATAAATTAACTGTGCAGCTTAAGGCAGCAGTTTTCACAGCTGGATTTAAACCCAAAGCATTGGAAGTCATAAAAGTATCAGATTCTAAAGAGTTTTATTTGACAGAACAGCAATTTGTGCCAGCTTTAGGATTAGAAGCAGCTGCTGGGTCTGTTATTAGTGAAAAGTAATTTGATTTCTAATAATATTTTAGACCATATCACCACTATTTACCATCTCCCACTGGGTATTCAGGCTGTTCTCCTTGCTAATACCTAGCAAGTAAAAGTGGAAAAAATGGCTATTAACTTACAGTCCATGTACAATTCTCAAACAAATGACTCAAAAAAGAACATGGGCTTTTAACTGAGGAAGCTAATAAAAACTTTGATCCTTTATAATTGAAAAGGAACCTTCATTTCCACATTTTCATTTACTAGCCTCACACACCTGCTGCCAACCTAGGCGCAGGTGTACAGCAATTTGTTGGGAATGCTTTATCGAAAGGATGTGAATGACACATCCAATGCAACTTTAGCCTTCCATATTTAGTCTGTCATTGCCATGGAAACCGGTCTATCTTGTGGTTACTGGAAATGACTCTGAAGTCAGTAGATTCACATTTGAAATGTTGTGTAGTGAACAAATTTCTGAGGGCATATTATGCATATGTCCATTGTTTTTTAAGAAAAAACAAGCAGCCCAAGTAATTCCCCTTTGTTAGCCACAGCACTGTATAGTGAACTATCCTGCTCCCTTTGGCTTTCAGAAGCAGCAGGACTGTTCTCTCTTCCCCTTTTGTGTGTGTTTACTGAAGCCTTTGTTTTTAACCATAATTGTTATTATTTCCTCATATCAAAATCCAAGGTGGTGGGCCCAATCACAGTATCTGTAATCCTGATCTCCTATTCCCCAATTAGCTCAGCTATTTTTCAGACCCAGGTATGAAGTTAAAGTTTAAATGCAAACTTCTCTAAAGTTTGGAGCTCTTTGGTACAAGAATTTGGGCTCAGGCCTATCATTTCCTTCAAATATGCTAGACTTCAGATTCTTTGAGAAAGTGGTACTGGCAGTACAAGTCCATGCCAGTCAAAGTTCAGGACCTACCAAGATAAGATTTCTACTTTGTAGTGATCCAGCATTCCTTACAGTTATTTCTGGTAACTGCATTTTTTTTGTACAGGGGACAGCTCTTCTCTGTGGGTATTTATTATATTCATGAATCACTCTGGAAGTGCATGGGATCTTTCTGGGTGGACAAGTTCAGAGAAAATAAATATGAAACCCAAATCTGAAGCAACTCCAGGACAAACATTTGTGGAAGCCATTCTGCATACATTTGTAGTCTTAATAGTTCCTATAGACTAGTAATTCTCAACCCAGGTGCCACGGCATGCTGGGATCCTTTTCAAGGGTTCTACAGGATGTCATACAATGTTAGTACTGTTAGATGTACAAATAGATTAATAAACTAAACTCAGGAATTTCAAATAGAATTCCATAGTATTAAAACATGCTGACCTGTTGTGTTTTTTCTGAGTTCTTTGTAACAGAAGAATTTCTCTATTTTTTTCTATAGCCAAAATAAGTGAAAAACTAAGAGATGGCATTTTCCATGGGGTGCCTCAAGTCTAATGAGAGGTACCTTGACTTTAAAAAAAGTTAGGAACCAGTCCTTACCTTGAGGAGTTTTCTACCAAGACAAGGTGCAAGAACAACAGCATAAGGATCTACTGGCTACATCAGGCAGTCCATAACTCTTATCAGATGGTTAATATATTGTAGGCATTGCAGCAAAGACAAAACTGAGGAAGGGCATGAAACAGGATCATATGTGAATGGCAAAGTGGAAGAAAGAGCTGAGATGTTGGGCAAGAGGCTGGCTTTACTGATCAAACAGAGGAGATGGAGGGACATCTCAATGACACCTCACAGACAGAGAAGAGCAAACAAATAAGGAGGAGCTCAGTTGTGAGAAGCATTAACAATCAGAACAAAATTAGTACTGTACAAGAGGGTGTGACACATGAATGAAGGAGGGAAACTGATGATATCACAGTAAATAAATTCTGAATGGACTGCCTGACAGTGATGGGAGACTCAGAGTCATGAAAGGAGGCACTAGTATAAATCAGGACATGAGATGATGAAGACATGAATGACAGCTCAGACTGTTCGGACAAAAAGAAAAAGGACAGATTTTCAAAAGTTACAGACCTGGGTGGGATGAAAAGCAGCTTACTGCTAGTGTCGCTATGCATTCAAACTTATGATCTCTTTGCTGAAACCATCCCAAAGTGGGCTAAGTTGGTGCTCACAGGAATGAGGATTTGGCAGCAGGGTTATTTGTCCATAAGGAAGTGGATGGAGACCACATAACTCATTTCAGAACAGTACACTCCCATCCTGTGTACATTTAGGCAGATTGTGACTGATTAATAGGATTCCTGTGTATTTCAATGCTTGTATGGCAGAGCAGCAGAACCATGTGACAAG